ATACTACTTTACATAATAGTTTTTACAATGATTTAGATTTTCTGTACATATACAAAATAAAGCTGAGTATTAAAATGAATCAAAATATTTTAGGCTTAGCATAAAGATATGCTCAGCTTTATGTCGATCCGTTAGTAAAACATTTGTTGAGTAAAAAAATATATGAGTGGCATTGTAAACCTAACACTTCTCAGGATCACCCTTATCAAAAAAGCTCACCCGCCTAAAAAAATTATGACAAGCACTTACTCTGCCAATCAGTCGCCCTCTTGGTATCGACAGCCACTCAATGTCAAAAATAGAAACCTGACTTATACATATCTAAAAAAGACAAGTCTATTTCTGTATGTCAAAGGTTCTCGTTACATGTTTGACTGAATACATCACTTTCATACCTATCTGTCGTTACAAAAGGAGAAAAGCAGTTTCAAAGGTAATGGAAACGCAGATTACTCCTATCCCAGTGAAAATCTTAAGGACTGTTTTTTTTTTTATATATTTAACTTATTCATCATTGGTAATAATAAAAATAACTATACATAATTGAACTTTTTAAAGATGTAGTCCGCCTTAAGCAGAACCGCGTGGAGAAGAGGATAAACCGGTCACGTAGTAATTGCATTGGCATCGCTTGTCCCGATAATTGGTTTAATATTGCGCCGGGTCTAACAAAGCCACCACCACGTGTCTCCTTCCCCACTTCTAGACCAACTATTTCATACGATATTGTTAAACGCTACTGTATCATCTGCGAGCTGCAGAAACCTCATTGTATAACACAGATTTTTAATTTCAATATTCTATGCCATTAAAATTGTATGAGAACATGATAGACGTTTGTTCACTATTTAATTGGTTTTAATTATTTTTATTTGTTTGCCATGACTATTTTACAAGAAGCACTTTTAGCGAATTTCCCATATAGGGGATAAGCTATTACCGTAGAACTCATGGTAAGACCTCGACCCGGGACCAATTTACTTTTTCGTTTTGAGGTCCCTAGAGGCCAAAAACACGATCCGTTCAAATTCATATATACATATTTCTATATGTGTCCGTTAGCGCGATAAATCGAGCAAAAATCATCCGATTTCGATGAAATTTGGTACAAACATGTAAACCTACGTTTATTCGAACGAGTTCGCGAACCAGCATGATCGGACTATGGGAAGAGGGGTTTATGTGTGTTTTATGGTGTAAAAAATAGGGTTTTCCCATTTTTGACCCAAAAAACATATTATTTTGGAATTTCTTTCCCAACCATTTTGTAGAGCTTAAAAATAAATAATTTAGTATATTGAAGCATTGTCGTATGCCTAATGGTTGCGGGAAAAAAATCAAAAAGTGTAAATTTAAAATTCCCATGTTAATCTTATGGAGAAAATTGTAAACTGTTGTAGTTTACTTGTTTATGAGCATATTTTGATCAAATTTGGAAAATGCATTAATTTCTTACTAAACTATTAACATTAAAAAAAACACACTTTTACCCTCCCTGTTGCAGCAAACCTAAGTACTCGTTACTAACTAATGCTATTTAAATAGGGAATAGATGTGATATTTTTAAGGAGACATTTTAGTGTAAATCCAATCAGGCAAATGGAAATTCGCTTAGTCTGCAGGTTTGCTGCGGCGGGGGTATTTAACATTACACTTGAAAACTGCATTTTGCGTAGAACTGTTTACTAAACTTTAAATAACATCTGTGAGTGAGATGTGATTTTAAAAGCGTAAATTATATTTAAAAATACCTGTAGCAAGAAATCAGTTAATTTTCTGCTATTTGATTGTATAATTTTTGCAAACTTGCAGTAGTAAGGGTTATTTAACTAATTTTATTACCAACTGCAGTATTATTGTAAAAAATACGAATATGTAAATAGACCATTTTAGCTTAAAGACCTTTTAACTTGACCAAATAAGCTGTATAAATACGTTCCACTAAATAAATCAATTGATCCAGTGGACAGGCATTAAGGGATTAAGGATTTGACCGCGTTCTATATAAACTCAAACATAGGGACGACGAGTGGCGGGGATTAAAACCTTTTTCACTTGGTTGACATTTATCATAATATGAAACACTAATTATTAAAAGGAAAATGTAGAACTTATTTATATTTTATAGACTATACAAATGTATTTAACATACGAAAAAGAATTTTTTCTACGATAACAATCCCAATTATTAAGTTTTTATAAAAAGAAATTGAGGTATATTTAAAGGTATAGAATATAAATTTCAAACAGAAAACATTTACAATGTCTGTTCTTTCGGTATAAACGTTAAAATGTGCAAACTGAATTTCTGTGGATAGCGGAATATTCATCGATACGGTGGCAAGCTCATTCACGATAATGTAATGTATGTAAACTTGGGATCTGCTGAATCATCTGCATGTCGCTTTAAAATAAAATCCATCTCGAATGTTGTAAATATAAAACCCCCCGTCACAGCAACTCTGCAGACTTGGCACATTTCCATTTGCCTGATTGGATTTTCTCAAAATATTTCGGACAGTTGCTTTTGAAATTGTCTCTGTGTTCATCAAGTGCACGACATAGATTCAATATACTAAAATATCTGTTTTTCAAGCTCTAAAAATAGTAAAAAAATTCTTAATCGTCTAAGAATTGTATAAACATCCAACTTTTACCACATAAAGCCCCCATAGAACTCCGTTGCCACATTACATCGTGCAGTAGCTCGTGCTTGTTTGTAAACTCAATCGAATGAACGCATCAATAAAAGTGTTGAATGACGTCCAAATGTCACGACGTCCAATGATATAAGTCAGTGTAACGACGTCCAAAATATAGTTTTAAGCTGTTTCACGACGTCCAGTATAAGTTATTTAACTGTTGCATGACGTACAAATCTCACCATGTCCAAAAGTACAGAAACTGCATGAAACATAGTCTTCATACAAGCTTTGGTCGTCTTGCAATAGCGCACTTCAAACTCTTGACAAATTAGCAGTAGAACAACGTCCAAAGCCGCTACCAGTAGCACGACGTCAAATATCTCAGCACTGTTGCACGACGACGTCCAGATCTGCTGCATATGGAGCAAGATTAAATTAGGTTAGGTTAGACGGTAAAACAGTGGACGTCGTGCAACTTGCAGCGGCTGTGGACGTGGTGTAACTGCTGGGTTTTTTTAAAGAGTGTAAAGTGTACTATTACACGACGACCAATCTCATGACGTTAAGGTTTGACTGGGCCCTGTTTCATAAAAGGTTAAAGGTATGACAACCCCGACAATTTAACAAATTGTTCAGAAACTATTAATTATTTATAAATAATACTATTCGACAGGTGACAAATAAAAAAAATTTAATTGTCATATGTTTAACTATAGTTTACAATTGTCACGAAAACACATGTCAAGAATTAGCTACATTTCCAATTGCTGATTGTTTATTGTAACGAATTCCAGTGCAAGATGTCTAATGACACAATAACAATATTAAAGCGAATTAAAGAGAAATAAGACTTCCTTTTTAGAAAATTGTGTAGATGCATAGAAAAATTCTAAATTTTGCTCACATATAACCATAGTGTTTATTGAATGATTATCATCCCTATCCACAACTGCGCCCTGATTTTCATGGGGTGCATCAATTTGAATTACGACCCATCCACACAAAAAGTTAAAATTAATTCTGTAACATTACCGTTTACATTCATACTACTAAGCACTAATGACAATGGCTTGACACACACGGAAGGAGCCCTATGTCAGTTTTATTCTGACAATTTGACAAAAAAGTCGTATTGTAAAATTAATTTTAATTTTGAGAAGTTTCATAAACATGATTGTCAACATATTTCTCGACAATTTGTGAAAATTCACTCGTCACAATACAAGTTTTATGAAACACAAGTCTGACAAATTTGTCAAACCATTGAAATTTTAGAAAGAAAATTTGACATAAAATTGTAAATTTTAACACTTATATGAAACAGAAATTTGTAAAATTGTAGATACTTCTAATATACCTGTCACCTGTCACCTGTCATACCTGTCACCTTTTATGAAACACTGCCCAGAGCTTGTAGAAAGACTATGATTATTGCAGTTACTGTACTTTTTTGGACATGGTGAGATTTGGACGTCATGTAACAGTCAAATATTTTACATTGGACGTCATGGCACTGACTGATATCTTTGGACGTCGTGGCACTTGGACGTCGTGCAATGCGTCCAACCTAAACACCATTTTACCAAATCAAATAAAAACTGACGATTTTTACTTGAGTGATCATGTACACCGTTGGTGTTCAGCCGTCTTGATATTTTCACTCAGATATTTGGTTTTATATTTTGCTTGAGTTGTTCAAAGGACATATTTTTCAACGCACTCAAAGTAAGAGGCTGGTTGCTATACTCCAAGAAGACAATAAATTCAATGTTAACACAAATTGACCAGCAAATTATGTAAAGTATGAGTGCGGTTAATTCAGCTGGAGAATGGTAGATTTACTGATCAATCTTTCGTACACCTGATATTTTTCAAACAAGTATAAGTTAATAAGAGAAGGCTCTCAATGAAAATACAAAATACAATGTTGTGTTAAAATAGTGAACCGGATACTTAATATTATGGTGGCTCCATACAAGGCCAACACAATATATAACTGTGTTTATCTTACCCTATATGTTATATTTATTGCTGGTATCATGGTAAAAAGTGTTGTACACTACTTAACTGGCTCAGTGTTATGGGGACTCGCATAAAATCATTCACTTGTCAAGCACAGTACGGGTACAGTAATTCTTTTACCGAAAATATCTACTTTCCAGCCTTGTAGCGTAATTAACATTGTAGTTTCATAATTATGTGTTAAATACTCATTTTCTAGGGCATTGAAAGTTATTTTACTAACATTTTAACATCTCCCTATTTCTAGGATGGTACATTTACTTATTCATACATGTATTCATTATACTCGTATAATCATGCAGACTAAAAATTGAGGTTTTTTCATTTTTTCAGGAAATCTTATGAGCCTCTTGGAACACTACTTGTCTTAGAGGTAAGTAAGAAATATCCTAATCAATATTATATGACCAATATTATTGTTTTGGAATTAGGTAAACACTTGAAGATGTCATTATATAAAAAAACATGTCGTGTAATTTTATTGAACAAAAAAAGAAAAAAGGGTAATTTTGTTATTAAGATAACACATCTTAAAATTCTATTCTAAATATAAAACTCTGTGATGAAAAGAAAAGCAGAAGGATCGTAAAGTATGTCTTCTTGTAAACAAGACGGACGGAGAGGACTTAATCTGGACGTTGTCGTGTCAACAGCCACGGCCTGCTGTAAAATAACTCCCCGGGTAGGGCCTTTCCTGGAAAAAATTACGATCAAGAAATTACTACAATAATATGTTTTTTTACTTTTGCACTACATTCATTGTTCAAGTATTATTTTTAAATATATTGGTGTAAATATAATAACTTATGCCCAAGTGGGGCTACTAAATTAGCATTATTTCTGATACCCTTGGGATGGGTACGCCTTCTAAGTGCGCATTTAAACCCAAAGTAAGTTAGTGTAGAAAGAAGAAAAACGCTTTGTTTAGCTTTGTTACTGAGTAAGATTATCTGTTTAATTTTCCAGGGCCATTTATTCAAAGACCACTGATCACTCATTATTATCTATTGAAGGTATTTAAAAGTTGAACATTAACAGGCTTTTTAATTATTAATACCCAAAGAGTTTCAGAGATTAGTGTTAGAATTCCTGTTTAGTGATTTGAGAAAGTTGCAGCCAAACGTACCATATTATAGACACGCAGTTTCAATGCGAAAATAAATCATATTCATCAAATTTAATTGAACAACAGCAAACATGAGAGATAATAATTCTTTTTTAGAATTTTCCAATTTTATAAAACAACATTGAGATGTACATGGGTACTCATGGGTATACATGATTTGGGACCTGATATTATGCAGATAAAAGGTAAAGGATCTAATATTTATTTTGTCTATACAAAAATAATAAAAACATTCTTGGTCCGAATGTTGATTGGAAAATCCTAACACAAGATAAAGGGTGGACCAAAAAAACAGGGACAATTTAAAAATGTTATTACTCAGCTGTTATAAAGGCTGGAGAGTTCATTGATGCGACAAAAGAAAGTTTATTTGAAGCCATTTAGTGTATAGTTACTATGGATCATCAATGGTTACCGCAACATCGTGCCTTTGTCATAGAGACTTTTATGAAGAATAATTTGACTTTCATTTCTACTCAACGTCAATTTCGTTTTCACTTCAACATTGGCCGTAATGGTGCAACCCCAAAGCGAAAAACTATTTAAAGTTGGGTAAGTAATTTCCAGAACACGTCTTCTGCACACAAAGTCAAACCTAGTAAGATACATCGGACTGTTCGAACGCCGGAAAACATTGAAATGGTTCGCGCGAGTGTCCTGCGTCGAACGTCCAAAGCCAACCGTTTGCAAAACATTGCATTGAAATTTAAATTTGCATAGGTTTAATTTTGAGTACAAAAGTGTTTAGGACATTGTTTACCCATCTTTGAGTAGTTTATTCGGTTTGGGGCTGCACCATTACGGCCAAAGTTGAAGTGAACACGAAATTGACGTTGAGTAGAAATGAAAGTCAAATTATTCTTCAAAAAAGTCTCTATGACAAAGGCACGATGTTGCGGTAACCGTTGATGATCCATAGTAACTATACACTAAATGGCATCAAGTAAACTTTCTTTTGCCGCATCAATGAACTTTCCAGCCTTTATAACAGCTGAGTAATAACATTTTAAAATTGTCCCTGTTTTTTTGGTCCACCCTTTATTCTAACAAAGTTAGTCCTTTGTGCATTGCTTAAAATTGAGCTGTATTGTTTTATCTATGATCCCAGGACGAGAGAAAGTATATTTAAGTGTTTCAGTAATAACAGACAAAAAGCAGGAAAATAACCGATACACAACATAATATTAAATAGTTTGTACCACTAGTTTATTGTGTATGTTGTCTAAGTGAACTGCCACCTCATCGGCTAATACGCAAAAATTCAGTGGTAGTGCTGATAAGGAATTTAAACATATTAAATTATCGATTAATGGAACGAAATTAAAGGTGAAACTTTTGTGTAACAGCAAAACAGATTGGTTCATAAAAATAGGCCCAAACAACGAATCCTGATAACCAAAGTAAATTTTTGAATAAATCAGACAAGGTGCTACTATTCTATTTTCATAGAACTCAATTATTGGAAATTTTAGCTTTATCTATGGCACTAATAAAGCTCAGGGTTAGTCCATAACAAGGGTTCAATATTACCAGTTTGGTATTGCCTTCACTAAATTTTCGCATGGACAACTTCATGTGGCTGCAAGTCAGAAAGTTTTCCAGCTAATTCTGTTTCTGTAGTGAATTTTATTGTTGGATATATTCCGTTGATTTGGTCGGTAAATATTTTTATGTCATGATTTTTGTCAAAGACAGCAAATATGTAATCAACGTATCTAATCCAAATTCTGGGAAAATGTGGTACTGATTGTTTTGCTAAGATCTCGAAATGACTCATACATCAGCGACAAAACATGAAAGAGGATTTCCCATTGCCGTGCCATTAGTTTGTGAGTAGAATTTATCTTAAAAACAAACGTTGTTTGAGCCATGCAAAGGTTAACAAATGTAAGTATTCTTGTACTTCTAACTTTGATAAATCATTTGAAATGAGCCAATCTTTGATCAGTTCTGAAGTAACTTCTATTGGTACATTTGGGTAGAGTCCAACTACATCAAAAGATACAAAAAATTCATGATCTTCCAGATTAATGTCTTTCGCTGCATCAATGAATTCATATCTGTGCATAATGGAAAATGATTCGTATGGTGCTAGTGTAGACAATTTTTTCTGTAGCCATTTTGATATCAGGTATGTTTTTAGAATTTATTGATGATACAATTGGTCATATTTGTTTTCCACTTTTGTGTATTTTCGGTAAACAGTACAATACTGGTAACATTGGATTTGAGATGGTTATATTTTTTTGAGTTTTGGTGATATCAACGTTTTACATTCTTTCATTGTATCATTAGTAGATGATATGAACTTATTGAGCGGATTTTTTTGGGCATAAATTGTATGGACCTTCTGTTATCATAGCATTGACTCTTTCATAGTAGTCAGTTTTGTCAATAATTACAATAGAATTTCCCTTATCAGCTTTTAAATAGAAAACATCTTTCTTTTGAAGAGATGTGATTTCAGGTTGAAGTTGATTGTTGTTTTTTACTTTGGTATCTGTAGTAAGTTCTTTATGAACTTATGATCTGATTTCATTTTTAATGTTGTTTTTTAGATATTGTATGTTAGATTCGATATCAATGATCAAAGATTCAACTTCAAATTTATCATTTATAAAATTAAAATTCAACCCTTTGTTTAAAAGCTGTGTTTCTTGATGTGTAAATGTAGCAGTAGATAGGTTATGAACTAAACATTGTTTTTATAACGGGTTGTTTGTTGTTTTCCATAGATTTGTGGAATTTTCATTAGATTTGTTTATCAGCGTGTTGAATTTGTTATCAAGCTTTTCTAGTTTTTCTTACATTTGTTTTTAATACTTTCAATAATGTTGAGATATTTATCATTGAAGTATTCATAGTCTAGTGAGCACATCCTTTTGGTTATATTGAGATGTAATTCCATTGTTTCTAATTCAAGTGAAGATTGTTTTGAATATAGGTTTTTATTTCCAAATTTAGCCAATGAATTTTCGCATGATCAATAACTTTTATAGTAGTTGGATTGATTACCGGTGTATTTACTTTTATACAATTTGGAAAAATATTGTTTCGTTTACATTTTTTAATAAAGTTTATGTCTAGGTTTAGTAAACTTACTTTTTGTTTGAGTTTGTGTAGTTTGTTAATCTCCGAGGTCTTTAGAGACATTTTGATAACTAATATTGGAGATATTGGCAATTAATAATGAAATATATAATTAAATTTACAAGCTCAACAAGGCCAATATATAATAATTTTATTTTATTCACTAGCGCTTTCAGAAACTAGGTTTCCATTTTCCGGCACTAGTTCACTGGTACAAAAAGTGTCTATTTACTTAATAATAAATTAATTTTAAACAAAGTGAAAACAGATGTTGTAAAGGACATTGGAAAATTATATAAAAATTAATATTAGAAAAATAATCTTTTGAATTTTGGATATATTACAGTGTTTACAACATCTGTTTTCACTTTGTTTAAAATTAATTTATTATTAAGTAAATATTTACTTTTTTTACCAGTGTACTAGTGCATGAAGGTGGAAACCTAGTTTCTGAAAGCGCTAGTGAATAAAATAAAATTATTATACATATTGGCCTTGTAGAACTTGTTAATTTAATTATATATTTCATTATTCATTCAAATGCTCAGCTACTGTGATTGATAATATACATTAGTTATGTCAATACTTACTCTTCATTACGATTAAAAGCTTATTACATTCTAAAACAGTTGACTTGTTCTCTTTTAATATTTTAACTAATCTATTAAACAAAACATATCAGCTGTTTCAACGTTAGCTTCTGTCGTTTTGTTAAAAAAAAGAAGAACAAAATGTTTGGATTTGTTAACTTGACCAAACTAATTCTTAAGTAAAATAATACGGAAATTTCAAATAATAAGGTAGACATAATATAGCCGTTATAGCTTTCACCAAGTAATGGATATACCTGAGTTTGCATACGGATTTCTATGAGAATGTTTACAGAGCTATTACGTGGTAAGTGGTAGGCTACATCAGTAGCGTTTTATTGATTACGGTTGAAATACAGGATATACATTTTCCATGTGTTTTTGAAGTTTTGCAATATATTATTGAGGTGAACATAAATTTACAGTTTACAATAATAGTATCTCCTAAAACGCTAAAACGCAGTTTTCTCGGTCAGTCCATTATTATAACTCGTGCAGTAGGCCTACACTGGAATTGCTCAGTTGAGCCATTGTCATCCATGATGCAAGCAGGCATTGTCCTCGGTG